TTCAAACAAGTATGTAGCATAGTTGATAAATAATACATGTTCATCAATCACTAATTATTATTTTTAGTTGGTTCAATATATAGTACAGTTGATGCCACATGGGCTAGAATTACATGGAGTCCTCCAAACATTTTATCTTTAGATTATCCAGTCATTATGTATGAAATTGGCTATCAACAGTCTAATGACTTCTGTGAGGAGTCAATTGATGTTTTAGCAACAAATCTAGCTAATGTTTCCAGTACTAGCTTCAATATCACTGGTCTTACTCCTGATACAAGGTATGTCTTTGCTGTAAGAGCTTACACTAGCAATGGATATGGTGAATGGAGTCTCGTTGCTAATGAAACACTTGCAGCAACAATTTTTATAACTGGTAAAGGTGATTATGTATTAATCTTATGCTTATACAATTATTATGCAGTGGATAGATGTGTAGTTCCAACACAAAATATTTTAATTGGAAATGAAACAAAAATTACTAGTGAGTTTTTCAAGTACTAGAAGCTATCATGTACTTTTACTGTTATAGCATTGGATTATGTTAACTAAACTATCATGTCATTCAATTTTTATCGTGTAGGTACTGGCAGTAAAACAGTCAGTATAGCTTTTGGTACAGCTATTGCTATCTTAACTGTGGCACTAATGATAAGTCTGGTTGTTAATATATGCCTTTGCTTCTGTATTCATCGTCGCAGTAAAAATAAGTGAGTAAGCCTTTTATCACTCGCTGCCTCAGTATAAACTGTCACTACTATATAGCACTGCTAACAAAGAGCCACTCAATTTATGTATAAACAATTCACATTCCAGGTATAGTAAACCAATAACTGTTACTAATAATAACACTCCTACTGCACTGTTGATTATCTTCTTTGTGTCATGCACCTTTACTCCTATAGTCCACAAGAAGATGAACAAGAGATCGTGTTGCAGCTATGCGAGCCATACAGCCTCAAAAATGCTATTTTAGCAAAACAAAACGAAACTGGAGGAGGAGGAGAGGAAAGTAAAGTCAATCACACAACATCTGGTCTTGATGCTGTGTACGATTATACTGATCATGATCAAAATGACTATCAAGAGTATGGAAATGATCCCGAATACATATACATACCAAATATGGAAGCACTAAAAGATAATGCTAAAGGACTAAAGAATGATCATGATTATGTGTGATAATAACTATAAATATTAAATTCAAAAGTTAATAATATTGTTTTTTTTTGCCGCAAGACAATAGTTTATTATTGTTAAGGGATTACAATGTTATAATCACTTCATCATTTTTTAATACAAAACTGCGTGATAAACTAACGAGGATTACAATAACAAGAAAAAATTAGAGCTATAATTACAAATAAGGCTCATTCATGCTATAAGCACGTACATGCACATGTATAATATATGAAGGACATGCACATGTACAGTCACACTTAATAATAGGAGGAGAGTTAGTGCAAAATCAAAATCATGTGTTCTGAGATTATCATTATATTGTGGAGGGGAGGGAGCAGTTCAAGCATTGCTTATTTCATTTGGGTTTCTTCTTGGACGAGACTGACAGAAAACTGAGATACCACGAGCAAACATGAATAGACCTAGAAAAAAGAATTATTGAAGTCATCATTTACCACACACCACACAATCTTTCCTTTCTCCCTCCCCCCCCTCTCTCATCCTCTCTGTCTCTCTCTCCCTCCCCCTCTCTCCTCCTTACCCATGAATCCTAGTATCCAGAAGAAGAGACGGAGGAATGAGTAATAGCGCTTAGCACAGCTGTTCCACGTGACAGAGTCTTCCCCGTAGTAATAAGCATCATCAGAGCAGAGGGAGTGAACTGCTCCAGTTAGGTAATCTGGTTGAAACTAAAGACACAAAAATAAAACACAATCATTTTGAAAGTAAATGCAATCAACATACATGTACATGTAAATAGTCAATGTGCTAGTATATACAATGTACATGTACATGTACATCATATTAAATAAAATCTAAAAGGTCATAGTTACTTATTTAAGCTAGCCTACTACTGTATCATGATGAATTTAAGTACATGTATATATACATACACATGTACATAAGTATAATATTCTATTGAGTATCGGCTAACCTCGACAAAGATGGTCTTAAAAACTAGTGAAAGTCCCAAACCAGCAGCAGCTCCCGACTGAGCGGCCAGTGTTGTTGCAAGGCAGCACGAGATGAGGTAGCCCAACCACGAGAAGAAGAAACAAACTAAAAAATAAAAAATACAATCAAAACAGAGAAAGTGAAGAGAGAGAGGATATCGTACCCAAAAAGAAAACGACAAATTCGCAAGTCGATCCTGACTCTCCCAAGACCCTGCGTTGAGAGACAAACCTTATGGTCCCATCCGGACCCTCTGGTATTTCCAACACACCATCCTTCTGTAATGGTAGTCATGATAACAGCTCATTACCAACTCTTCACTCACCTCAAATTTCTCTGATTGTTCGTACGTAGGCAGTGGCATTGCTGCAGCTGGAATAGGAGTTACTAGTACCACTAGAAATATAAAGACACACAAATAAATACACATGATCTTAGCTAGGAGAGGTTCTACTATATGTAATACCGTATGGCTAGAAAATTCCGTGGGGTATTTAATTTCGCGGATTTCGTGGGTAACTTCTTAACCATGAAAATTAATACCATGGAAATGCTCACTGCGCATGCGCAGCATGTGAAAATCAATGACTTAATGCAAGTGCACGTGCAGAAACGTGAAATTTAACTCCCTTGAAATTAAAGAATTAAGAGCTTTTCACTAAAACACGAAAATTTATGCCCTCGAAATTTTCTAGCCATACGGTAAGAATGGGTCAACAACTCTCAATAAAACAGTAAAATCAGCACACAGTAATTGGATGAATGCAAACAGAGCCAATATAACATAGAGATAATGTGTACTCCAATTCATGCCAATAGAATTTGACTTACAGCCTTACATGCATATGTGTACATTGTGTACTATTACATGTAATATCTAATGTGTGTTTATACAAATAAAGACTTCTCTGTCAATCGATATACTTGATCATTAATATAAAGACATAAACCCAAAGTCTATTTAGGAACGACAAATTAAGAGGTGGAGGCTATTTTTAAACTACTCCACCCATAGCTTTTATACACTCATCTCTCCATACACATTCACACATTGTCCCAATACACAGTGTCACCAGTGGCCCAACAATCATTAATACAACAAAACAAGTCTTTATTAAAGATTAGTAGTCTCACCAGGTTTCTTAGGTGGCTCGTATGCAGGCGGTAGATCCATTCCTCCTCCACCTGTTGCCTCTTCTTCTGGTGACTAAAAGATACAGTACATGTTTATAATGAGAGTGAGGGTACCTAGAGGACTAATGTAAGGTCTATGTACTTACCAGAAGAGGCTTTTTCTCATAGCCTTCATCCATTTTCGCTGACTTTTGTCTTTCTTGTTGATACAATTACGTCATTTTTCAAATCACGTGATAATGGCAATATCCAGAGTGGGCGGGTCAGATTTGAGCCACGCCTATATTCAGCCACACCTTTTAATTGCTGCAGCGTGATAGTTATTTTTATAATTATTTTTTAACTAGTAAACAACACGTTTTTGGGGGGAGAGCCTTTCAAGGAGCTTTCAGAGTACAGAATGAGTCTATGGGTAGATAAGTACAGACCAACCAACCTTAATAAACTCCATTATCATCAGGAGCAAGCTGCCAGTTTGAAAAGACTGGTAAAAATACAAATACTTATGAGAGTAATTTTATGTGTCTTTTGCCCCTCCCTTCATTAGGTCCAGTCTGATGATTTCCCTCATTTGCTGATTTATGGCCCGTCGGGTGCAGGAAAGAAAACAAGAATGGTTTGTATACTTCGTGAGTTGTACGGGGCCGGAGTGGAGAAACTACGTATTGAACACATGGAGTTTATAGTAATTGATTAATAATGGGGCGGGGTTATTATAATGTCACACCAGCTGTTATTAAAATTTTGATTCTGTGGCCTATTGAATACTGTTTGTACATTATTATTATTATTATTGAGTCTCACGTGGTTTTTTGATTTTTGATATTCCCAGACCCCGTCAAAAAAGAAGATTGAGATATCTACGGTCGCTAGTAATTATCACATTGAAATGAACCCAAGGTGATCCTTTTTAATTTAATATTATTTGAATTCAAATTTTGAATAAATGCCAAGTAGATATGCCCGTTTCATCCTTTTTTTTTCTTTCCCCCTCTCTCTTTCTCTTCCTCTCTCTATCTCTCTCTCTAGTGATGCCGGTATTCATGATCGTGTTGTCATTATGGGGTTACTGAAAGAAGTAGCTCAATCACACTCACTGGACACTAGCCACAAAGACTTTAAAGGTCAGTAAACTTGTGTAAACTCCAATTTTATTCAGAATGAGTTTAAAGTATTGAAACAACATAATACATATCAGAAAAAAAATTATAAAAATGTAGAATT